CCTAAGAGAGAAATACATGGATCCCCCTGGGAAGGTGAAATAGACATGCTCTCTTCCATAAATTGGGAGGGGGGGGCAACAGGGGAGAGTGGCAAAGGAGGGAAGAAGGGAGAAGGGAAAGGAAAGAACATGAGGGAATGGGTGGTTGAATTGGAGGAAGGAAAGAGAAGGAGGAGAACAAGGAAAGAGATATCTTGATAGAGGGAACCATTATGGGGATAGTGAGAAACCTGGCACTAGGGAAATTCCCAGGATTCCACAAAGATGACCAGCTAAGACCCTAAGCAATAATGGAGAAGGTGCCTGAACTGGCCTGCATTATTCTGAAAAATAAATATATTCATATTCAAGATGCATCTGAGGCACAAATTTGAGTCAGGTTATAAGAAGGCAATAAGTTTTCTTGGTTTAGATAACTCCAAATAGCTTCAAATTTTGAGGGATAGCATTAGCACAAACTTAAAAGCAATCTAGGAACATTTAAAATAAGCCTTTCTTTTTCAAAAAAAAAAACAAATTTATTTATTATTTTACATCCCAGCCACAGTTTCCCCTCCCTTCTTTCCCCCAAGTCTCCCCAACCACTCACCTCTGTTCAAACTGCAGGAAGACTAAGCATCTCCCCATTTACTAAGGCTGGGCAACGCTACTCAGAATAAGAAGTAGAGTCACAAAAGCCAGTAAAAAGAGTTGAAGACAATCCCTGTTCCCACTGTAATTCTTTTTCTTTTAACAAATGTACATATTGTAAACAAAGATATTCAAGGTTATTAAACAGCATAAGGAAGAGATAATTTGTTTTTAGCATCAGGATCTCTAGTTCCAGACTCCCCTAGAATTTACTATGTAACTCAGGTTAATTTTGAACTCTCATTGGCAGGCCTCCTGCCTTAGCCTTGCAAATAGGCTAATTGTTAGTTGTGAAACTCAAGTTGAGCTATTATTACAAAAGGTGACTAAAGATTTATTTCTAAGAGTTGAAGTCATCTCCACACCTGCAATGCTTTTGACTACAGCATGTCATTTCTTCAGTGTTACTCAACAGAAGCAGAAATCTATTTAAAATCACTTTCTTAGTTAAGTTATTCAACAATCTAAGCTTTAGATTCAATTATACAATACACCAGAAATCTTAAACTTTTTAAACTATGTTTATTTGGCTGGGGAGAAGTATACCATGGAATAAAAGTGAAGACAGAGGACAACCTGTGAGAGCTGATTCTCTCTTTCTAGGGAGTCAAACTTGGGTCACCCAGTTTGGCAGCAAGCACATTTACATGCTGAGCCACCTTGCTAGCCAAAGATAAATAATCTTAGATCAGCTTAAGCTTGAAATTTAGAAATCTCTAGCAGCACTTGATTTCCACAGTAGAGCTCTCCTATTGTAATTCCCTCGGAAATAAATCTTGATGTATAATCATAGTATAAAATAATAATTCATCTTTCTGACATAAGATACTTCCTTATAGCTGGGAATAGAGCTCAAATGGTAGAATGCTTGCTAAGCAAGTGAAAGCCCTAGACTCAATGCCCAGCACTGGATGAAGAATAAAAAAAAAAAAAAGGATTTTTGGTACAACTCGTAACAATGTTTTGAGCTAATTAACTATGAAAGTCCACCAGACCTATGTTTAGGCTATACAAATTGGTTATTTTGGTTTTATAACCCTACAAAGGTTAAAGAAATAAAAGCTGTTAAATTTGACTTCTGACCTAAACAATGGACATTTTTTCAAGTTAGCAACAAGATTTTATTTTTAAATTTTCCACTAAATTTATTACTAGTCTACAAAGTAATGTTTGTATTAAAGGTGAGATTTTTGGCAATTAAGTGGTTTATCTTTAGCACGTGAAACATCTGCAAACCTATAAGCAGACCACTTACAACTAGATGGTGCCTGTAAAGGCTAATATAAAATGTGTGCAGTTTAAATCAGAAAGTGTCACTGACTTAGAGAAAACACAGAGGATGAGGATAGATGTTAAAAAAAAAAAAGTTGTTACTCTACTTAGTAACACTGCAGAACAAAACTGCCATATTGTAAAAGCTCAGAGTTCCTTGTCAACAAAGTAACAATTAGTAAAGCTTCTATAGGTTTATTTTATAATGCAGAAGTCAGGGAGTTTATAGGGCAAACTGAAAGCAGTCATATGCACTATGTTACATGTAACGAGAGGGCAAGTTGCTTCAGTTCTTGGGACTCAGTTTCTTCAGGTTATAAAACGGAAGAACACTAAAGCTAACACCTATGGGTGGCTTAGAGACTTGGCTTCTCTATGATCTTTATTTGGAACTCCTAAGACATCTCTTGTACCAAGATACTAGTTTAAAAGTACTTTCAGGAAAAATTCAACTTCAAGCAAGCTATCCTACCTTAACTCCTTTTCTAGTCACTTTGAGCTAGTCTAGAACTTTGAGCTGGAGATAGTGATGAAACACTGTGAGGGAAGAACAGTCAGTTATACAAGATTGTTATATGAAACTATAACCTGATGACAACTAAGAAATGCTGTTGATATTTTACAAAATCCAAACTTCTGCTTTGTTTTTAACAATGCAAATTCCAAGTAGCTAAGACATAGTTCTCCATGTAACTATTTTATAAGTTTATTAGAGCAAAATTTTCACTTTTACATAAGTACTGCTAGAAATTAAAAGAAAAAAGAACATTTCTTCCTCCCCTCCCCCTTTTGTTTGTTTGTTCGTGACAGGGTTTCTCTGTATAATAGTTCTAGCTGTCCTGGCATTCAATTTTTAGATCAGGCTGGCCTCGAACTCACTGATACCTGCCTGCCTCTGCTTCTCAAGTGCTGGTACTAAAGGCATGTGCCACCACCACAAGGCTTAAAGGTACATTTTCAAAAAGATACTTAATGGACTTTGTCAGGAAGATGGCTCCATGTATTTGTATACTTAGCTAAATTAAAAGATATGTTGGTAGAAGGCAAGCTAATTCAGCAGGTAAACATACTTTTGGTCAAGCTTGGAAGTCCTGAATTCAATCCTAGAACCTACATGGTGGAAGGCCAGAACTGACTCCTCTAAGTGGTCCTCCAACCTTCACATATGTGCTATGACATGTGTACATGCAGGAGCAGAATTTAATACAATTAAATAAAATGTAATAAAAATTTTGTTAAATAAAAATAAGTGACAAGAAAATTATTTCTTTTTTAGTATCAATCTAAACCAGTTAGTCAGATTGCTAATTTCATTAAATGTTTCACCTCATATTTACTGAATAGTAAGAAACATTACTTCATTTCATTGAGAAATTTGTTTCAGTCAAATGCAAGTCATAAAATAGTCTTGATTTTTTTCCCTTGAAATTATTTATTCCATCTTGTGACAAGGTCTCATGTATCCCAGGCTGGCTTCAAAATTGAATGGCCTTGAACTAGCTGGGATACACACATGCACCACTACATACTGTCCAGTGCCAGGCATGAAACCCAGGGCCACATGCACACTAAGCAATCATGCTAGCAACTGAGGTACATTTATAAGGCCATTTTAGAATCTTTCAACAAAGAATCAGAATTAAGCAAGCAAGAAAAATGCTTATATTAACTTATTTTAGCTATGTAACATATAACATTATTATAAAATTATTTTTATTAAATCATTATATTATCCATTAAGGAAATATATCTGATTTCTAAGAAAACAGTCTGAAGAGTTCAACATTTTCATAAGAAAGAGTTTATTTTCCTGTGCAAGGACTCACTCTGCTGGTTACACAAAGAATATATTCTTAGACAATGTGAAGTAATTATTTTAATGAACACTAGAGGGCAATATTTTCATTTCTAAACTAAATATCACTTTGTGTTTACGTGTATACTTGAATGTATTCTTAAATTTCACTTGAATAAACATACAATTTTGCATTTTAAATTTTGTATAAATACAGCATATTAAAATATATTTTATAAGTACTTTAAAACTTAAGATTAGACCACCAAGTATACAAAGTATGTGACTGAAAACTATTATTTTAATGACAAACATTCAACAATAAGGGTTCCTTATTTCTACTTACAATTTAATAAAAAGATTAATATATTAAAGCAATACAATATATTTAATTAAGAGATCTTTAGGAGAACACTAAAACTCTTTAATCCTCAAAACTCTTAGTTGCCAAAACAGCTGGAAATTCAAAATTAGCAATCAGGGAAGAAATCAAATATAAGTGAAAGAAAAATGAACACATCACACAAAATTTACAGTCTCTGTTTAAAGATACTGGTGTTAACCGGCAGCAAAATAATATAAATTTGAACTCTTTTTAATGTCTTAGCCAAATAAGTTTTCTGACTAAAACTCTTAGATATAACTCTTAGAATATTTAATTATGAATTAAATTAAATATAACTGTGCTGTGGGACAATGGTCTAATAAAATGCGGATTGGCCAGTAACCAGGCAGGAAGTATAGGCAGGGCAATGAGCACAGAATTCTGGGAAAAGGAATGACTCAGTTTGCAGTCCAGACAAAGAGGAAGCAAGACGAGAATGTCTCACTGATAAAAGCTACCAAGCCACGTGGCTAACAGACAAGAATTATGGGCTAATTTAAGATGTAAGAATTAGTAAGAAACCTGAGCTAATAAGCCAACCAGTTTATAATTACTGTAGACCTCTGAGTATGTCTTTGGGACAGAACGGCTGCAGGACCAGATGGGACAGAAACCCATGTCAACATAACTAAATTAAGTATCTATCCATATCAAATGAAAATTTGAAGGCATACAAATACCATTTTCAATATTTTTTAAAATTACATTATTTAGATATGGAATTTAAAGTATTATTCTCCAGTTACCTAAAGGTGAGACCCAGATGCTGAAAAATCTTGTCATTTTTGTTTTAATACAGAAATCTAGAGCTTCAAAATATAACAGTTTATTGATCCTTACTTTTGTGTGTTTAACAGAACTCAGATTTATACACAAACCCAACACCTCAAACAAAAAAACAAACAAACGCAGAAGTACTTACTTGAACCTAGCAGGTGAAAGAGGAGTAGGTGGAAACATTCCTGGTTCAAAAGAATCAAAGTAAGTCACTGTCCAAGAGAAGCTGCAGCAGGAGAATCCAGCAGTTAGAGATAGTGTCAGCAGAGACCAGAACCCTTAATGGGAAGAAAGGAAAAAAATTATTAAAATAATTTAAACTAGCTTCTTTATGTCCAGATGCTGATGTAAACTTTATTGTGTTTAGCACATGCTAACTCACATAAAGAAAAAAATGAGAATGCAGTTAGAGGTTATTTCATTAACTATTTTAATGAAATTATTACATGTGCAAGCAAAGACAAATTCTACCTAAAATTAGAAAAAAAATTGGTTTTATGACATTCAACTACAGCAAAAATAGTCAAAGCAATTTACTCTTTGCATGTCTTTAACAGTTCTCATGGAAATTCATGAGCAGTAGCTGGCATTTGCTATTGTTTTGTACTAAGTGCCTTCTTTCATTCCAAGACAAGAACTTTTTACATCAATCAATTGTACAATACCTCTTCATAACCTTCCTATGAAAATGAAATACTAATTCTTCATCCTTGTTCAGTATATAAACTAAAGTTGACTCCCAACTTACGAAGGAGTTGGGAACTCAAATTGGTCAAGTGAGAACTTTTTTTCTCACAGGAATCAAATCAAAAGTGTGGTATTAAAGTGAACCACAGTTGAGGAATAAGGGTTAGGAAGCACTACAAAGACATAAAAAAAAGTGACAGAACACAGGAATAAACTGATCTGAAGATTTTTGGATTCTATTCAACTCATTGAGGATATTAAAGGAATAATGAACTGTTTTTATTCTCATTCTCTTTAGTAGTACAGTTACATTTCTTAAAATTTTATTTTTTTCATTTCATGCATATGAAGGTTTTACCTGCATATATTTATGCATATCATGTGTGTGTCTGGTGGTGCTTCTAACTACTGGGCCATCTCTCCAGTTCTCAGTTTTAACTTCAAGGTTTTTTTTTTTTTTGGTTTTTCAAGACAGATTATCTCAGTGTAGCTTTGGTGCTTGTACTGAAACCAGCTCTGTAGACCAGGTTGGCCTCAAACTAACAGCGATTTAACTGTCTCTGACTTCCAAGTGCTGGGATTAAAGATGCATACGACCACCGTGTGGCTTAAGTTCAAGTTTTGAATAAGTCTTTCATAAATTTAATTCATTACATCTACTCAGCAAAATACCTGTATTTGGTACAAAGGATAACAAGAATTAACAATTTCCTGGCTACCCAAAAATGATTTAGGGAATATTTTTACCAAAAAGCAGGTAAGAAATATGTGCGCTGAGCTGTTTATGTATCATATGAAATTAATAACACTGACAACAATGCTGACATGTAAGAGTAAGAAATGAAACAGTAAGAAAGTGTAGAAGTGTTTTAAAAGACTGGCCTGGCAGTGGTGGGACACACCTTTAATTATAGCACTGGGGAGGCAGAGACAGGCAAATCTCTGTGAGTTCTGGTTTACAGAGTTAGTTTCAGGACAGCCAAGGCTACACAAAGAAACCCTGTCATAAAAAACACACACAAAACGAAAAAAGGATTAACCTAAATGCTGATGGTTCCTCTTTTCCTGCCCCAGCCCACCCCCTTTTTTAAAGTTACCCCACAAGAAGTCTGTGGCAAGGCAGAAAGGAGAAATACCTTATCTCTGACTTTTATGTTGTAAAATTACAAAGCTAGTATACAGATATAATCAGTGATGGAAGGGTAAACAAACTTCTAGAAGAGAAAAAAAATAATGAACGTTTTGGAATACAGATGAATTGTTTATGTGGCGCACACAGAAAGATGTTCCTACTTGGAATAAATGTGCTTGTGTTTGCACCAGGCCTGAAATATAAAGACGGAAGAGTGCTGTTGGGCTTCCTGGCACAGCCATCCAGAAAGACTATACACTAGAAAGGAAGGTGGTTTTGTACCTCTTGGCAGATGGCCCAAAGATCACTCTGCAGATACCTCTAAGTGGGGCACAGAAATAGCAATGGCCCTATCATTTAAGTGCTACATCTAAAAGGACATCCTAAATAGAATGCAAGATGTTTCAAAAGTAACTCACTTCAGCAAATGTCGTCAGAATTCACCTCAATTTCAAAACTCTGGCACAGTACCCAGGCTCTAGGATCTTAGCCCAACCTGGGACCAAGAATCACAAGAAAGGCTGAGATTCAACCACCTTCTTGTTACCTAGTGAAAACACGGCAAAAATCACAAAATTTGTGAACATCAATTTTGCAATGTTTCTACTGGCAAGTAAGTGTCATTTGCTACTTAAATATCTCCAAAGAGAGGTAAACATAACAAGAAAGTTTACTTCAAGATTAGTATAAATTTACATAGTCTCTAAAATAAATGTAAAGAAAATCAATTATTACAAACTGTTATGACATGACGAAACATACATATATAAAAAAGGTAAGGAAGGAAATATCATTTAAAACTCAGTATCTTGCTACTTAAATCAACCAGGCCTTTCTATCTCAGAGCTTTCAGAGCAAACCTGTCAAATTGACTAAAACTATTCTTGTGAGTAGCCATCTCATTTTTCTCTACCTATTATTTATAAGTGACTTTTTCATAAATAGAGCTGTTATTCACACATGCAAAAAATATTCTTGACATTGCCCATTCTGATTATTATTGTACAATGTCATCAAGACATTTAAATTATTTTTATATTCATTCTGAAATAATAAGCTGCATGACGAGGAAGTCATGTTATAATAATAAGGCTAAGGCTGCATTGCTATTGTAGTCTGTCAGTGCCTATGGTTCTGAAAATTATAAAACTCATCTACAAATAAGTAGGGGAAAAAAGCCAGAAAAGTAAACAACAACTTTGTCAGGATAGCTCCAAAATGAAAGCTCAGTTAACATCGTTAGTACGCCATCCCTAAGCTAACAACTTGGAGCTTGCTGTGATCTCTGTGCAAGCAAACAGACACAGGAAACATAAACACAAAGTCCTCGGCTGAAGTTATTTTCTCAGTATATTGCCCAGAAATAAGATTCTCACTTTGCTTTTTGCATGGAGCAGTCTTTGTTGAAGGCTCTTATCAGTACACACAGTTACAGTCTTATCACTACTTCAACAATATTGCAAATGACATAGCACAATATATAGACATATGTTCAAGACTTTCATTTTTTATTTTTTTAATGTATTTATTTATTAATTAATTAAAGATTTCTGTCTCTTCCCCACCGCCGCTTCCCCTTTCCCTCCTCCTCCCCCACCCCCAATCAAGTCCCCCTCCCTCATCAGCCCAAAGAGCAATCCAAACTGCCTAGGCTCCCACAAAACCAATAGGTGCAGTAGAATCAAAAACCCATTGCCATTGTTCTTGGGGTCTCAGTAGTCCTCATTGTCCGCTATGTTCAGCGAGACCGGTTTTAACCCAGGCTTTTTCAGACCCAGGCCAGCTGGCCTTGGTGAGTTCCCATTGTCTCAGTGTGTGGGTGCCCCCCTCGCGGTCCTGAGTTCCTTGCTGTGCTCTCTCTCCTTGTGCTCTTGATTTGGACCTTGAGATTTCAGTCCGGTGCTCCAATGTGGGTCTAAGTACACACACCTGTCTTCTCTTAAGCTCAACTTTTTAGTTGATATAATGTTGAAATTTCATCTTTTCCATCAACCGAAACTTGGTGGACTCAATATTTTCAACTAACGCAATGGCGGGGGAGAATGCACATTTCCTATTCAAATCTTTTTGTTAGTGCATTTTTCACATTAGTTTCAGGGTATGGTTACTTTTCAAATAAATATTAGCAACTGTCTGTATGTCTATAAACTTTTTGCATTAAAAAGTTAAGAGGAAAGTATGTGTTATCACTCAGCTTCAAACAACTAATGGCCAACTCTGTTCACTCTATGTTCTTTGCACCTGCTTCATCAATATACGAAAGCAAACAGTCTCATTCATTTTTGGGGAACTAACATTTTGATGGACATAAAGTGGTTTAAATAAATTAGTATTTTTGGCATATTCACGGTATGAAGGTTAAAACTTAAAAATGTATACTGTGAAATATACAATTTTAAGTCAATTTGAATTTGTGCTTTTTTTTGTCTTATAGCTACTTTTAGAGAAAGTGTTTTATAGACCAGGTTGGCCTTGATATTACTATGTAGCTGATAATAACCTTGAACTTATGATTCTCCTGTCTCTGCCTCCCAGCATGCATTACCGGGTCTGGCTAAAGTTTTTTTTTTAAAGTCTTTTTCTGCTTGACAGTTACATTTGATACGAATATTATTAAAAAAAAGAAAAACAATCCATAATCCAAAACTCAGACAAACTGTCATTTTTGCTCCATCCTTCCAGTCTGTTTACTTTTCTCTTTTCCCTAGTTATTCTTTAATGAGGCTATACAAGTTTTTAAAGAGGGTATTATAACAGATATAACTTATTAGTGACATTTATGTGAGATAATTTGTGTTACCCTGCACAGGAGCAAGAAAACTGTATTTTTCCATAATAGTTTGTGGGTTTAATTAAAATACACTGGAAATATCAAATTCTGAGTTTAGGTAATTTTTCACTCTAAGGAAAAACTGAGCTTTTCCTAAAATATCTATTTTACTCCGTGTCAGCTCCAGAACTTTGGCTTTTCTTTAAAAATTTAACCATATTTCTAAAATTTTGTATCGTAAAGTCATGATGGAAGGAGCCTCATTTATTCCTCTGAAAAAGAAAGTTGAAATTTTCAGTGATTTCACTTAAGACTGAACCCAGTATTTGTCAATTATTTCTTCCCTGAACATGGACAAAGATGTGGAAATTTGTTATGTATACAAACTATACAAGTAACTCAAAAACAAGAATAACTTGTTACTGAAAAGTCAATCTGGTCTTGGCCACACAAGGAAATTAATGTTAAATACCAAATGTTAAGGAATGATGGGCATGCATACACACACATGCATACAGACACATAAAATCATGTTTAGAAGCTGTGTATGTGTGTACATATGTATGTGTGTATGCATGTATGTATGTGTATGTATGGTCAGCTGATTTGTTTTATTCTGTTCTAGGACTCTTCCTATGTTGCCCAGGCTGGTCTCGAGCTCCTGAACTCAAGCAAACCATCATCTTCAGCTGCCTAAGCAGCTGAAGCAGTTATAAGGAACACAACAGACCCAATCCAGAAGCTTCTTTAGTCACTAAAAGCTGTCCATCAAGTCTCACAATAAAAATTTTGTATAAGCTATGCCATGCATATAAAAATACTAGCCCTACATATTTTATATGAAGTATTTTCTGCTAAAGGCAATTCCAAGTACTTCCTTAAGTATTTTTCCAAGTTTTCATAAACTGAAAGGTTTTCACGCTACATGCTGGGAAACATTAAAGACTGCTGGAAATACCACAATGTTAGAAACAAGACTAAGTTGTCAAATGTGAGAAAATATGGAAAACTAACAAGCAAAATTAGATAACAAAATGTATGTGTTTAGCACAATCAACCTGGCCTGAGAACAAACTTAAAAGAGGATCAAGTGGAATGTGTATTAAATAAGTAAGTTTATTAACCTCCCTGGAAAAGCAAGTTCAAAGGGATGATATGCAGAATTATTAAAAGGAGAGCCCAACATCTTAATTTATCACAGATTTGAGGAAAATTTAATAGAGTTGGTCTATCCTTTAAACCATCCACTGTCTCAACAGTTTACTCAGAGGTCTACTGTCAGTTCTGCAAGACCTACTGTGCATTTATTCTCAAATAGATTAACAAGTCAAGCTCAGAGTAATATAAGGACAAATATTACCACAATAGCCTCAATTTTATCAAGAACTTAGTAAATAATCTTTGCGGTGCTTCTCTGAAACAGGTGTTTGTTTATTTTGGTGGTGCTAGAGATGAGAATATGAGCATGCTAAGGAAACCATTACCACCTTGAAACAGATTTCTTAAAAGAATTTTTTTTTGAAAAAATTATCTGCCCACATGCTACAGTAGATATACTTTCTACATGTCAAACTATGGCTACTTGGTCCCCATGAATCTGACAGAATTAAGCTACTAAGTACTTGATACTGTATTTATTCTCCTATTGATCAGAGGCTCTGAGGTTTCTGTCTTGGCATAGTTGTTTCTGCTGTTAAAATAATTGTTTTCCTCAGTCCTGATTTTTAATAATAAAACACGCCAAATAGGTAAACTCCTCAAAGCCATCTGTGAGAGAGACAGGTATCATAATAGCCCTCTCCACTGGAAAGCCATAAACTGCATAATGTATGACATTTTGGACACTAGAAACTTACCTGGACATTAATGGCAAATAATTCTTACTTTAAAATTTTTATCTCATGAGAAACTGCTTACAAAAACATGTGAACACTAAATTCTTCTGAAGTCTGTTTCAGATACTATTTATGTTGGCTAAATTTGTGGTCAAGTTTCTAGTTCTAAATTCCTGAAGGAGAATAGGAAGCCTCTCCCAAAGCATAATTAGAAACTAATGATTTGCCAGATCCAAGTAACGCACAATAATGTTGAATCCTGTACACACACATGATGTGGGAGTCTGCTGTGTGCTGTGATTAACATTAATGAATAATCAAACTGCCTTGGCCTACTGATAGAACAGAACTTCGGTAGGCAGAGGGACTGGACTAAATGCTAGGAGAAAGAAGGGCAGAGTCAGAGAGACACCATGGATTCACTGGAGACAGATGCTGGGAATTTTACCTGGTAAGCCACTGCCATGTGGCGATACACAGATGAATAGAAATGGGTTAAATTAATGAGTTAGCCAGTAAGAAACTAGAGCCAATGGGCCAAGTAGTGATTTAATTAATACAGTTTCTGTGTGGTGTGGTTATTTTGGGGCTAAGCTAGCCGGGCCAGGACAAATAAGCGGCCTGGCTCTCCTTGTCTCACACACACACACACACACACTAGTGACCCATTATAAAAGTATGGAAAGTATCTAAATGTCTATCTAAAAAGGAAGTCTAATAATATTTATAACAATGATATACATGAAAAAATGCTAATGAATCACTTCCACGTGGTATATAAACAATTTTATCCCAAAGCATGTATAACTTAAATATAATTTAGAAAAACAAAAAATAAGTGATGAATAGAATGAACAGTTCATACCTAACAGCCCAGTATCTACATCATCTTCATTTTTCGAATTTTCTGCATGCAGTTCTGTAAATACAAAAAGAGGTTTAGGTAGCAGAGTAGTACTCCTTCAAGACACGAATATCCAAAGGCTCCAAAGACACTGTTCAACTGTCAAAGGTAGCCTGAAGTCAGAGTGAGCTTCGACTTCTGGTTTACCACCTTCAGCAAGCAAATACCTTTACAAGAATCATTGTGTATTTACAAAAATATCATTTATCCCCTGGGTTGTGTTGAAGACCGTTTGAACAAAAGAAACTTAAGAGCATAGTAGATTCTGACTTTAGTTCCTTGCTCCAGTCTCCAAAATACCAATGTCCTCTGTGATAAACTTGTACTTATGAGCATATAATTTTATAATGCAAAAGACAAACTGTGAGCACTTCAGGGTTGAAGTGAAAAAAAACGGTCAAAGGTGTTGACAGAGATTTGAAGCAATGGCAGTCAAACTTTTAAGACCCACAGTTAACAGCCCAATAACATTATGAAGAAGTAATCTGTCTGTCTTCCTAACAAAAATCCCATCAAACAATGGTAACCTGTCAAAGGGCTACCTGCATCCCGTTAGGAGCTGGGAGAAAAAAAAGCAAAACTGGGATTAAATAGACTTAATTTTCAGTAGTAAATGTGACAAAGTGTTGAATCCTTTCAATACAAGATACGGTTTTGAGGTTTCTATTTAGCAATAAATTGGCAAAGTCAAGACTATCAGCTCTAAATTCAAATCTCTTTCCAGTATAATGAACACTAACCACACAACAAACTCGAATAGGGGAAGGGCTGAAGAGTGTCTTTGGGAGCGTTCCTATTTGGCCAGTATGTCAGTTTCTGACACGGCAGAACAGACTCTGCCCTGCAACTGTTACTCTACCTCGTTACAAACACAGAAAAGCTATTGTCTATAAAAGTAGACATTTGGGCTGCGGAGAAGAAAGCCTTGTCCTTCGATTTCTCTACGGTCATTTGTGAATCAGCCTTAGAACATATACAGTCTATTTTTTTCATGGAAAAAAAAAAAAGCAGGGACTCTGATAAAATAGCCGTGCTAATGTTTCAACTCGTGTTCAATGCCTCTACATTTCTTTAGAGTGTGGATTTAGTGAATGAAATCCTTTCGAAATGGCTCTCATTATGGAGCAGGGATCTCCAGCTAGGGAGAGAAGACAAAAGGAGAGAAGAGCGAAGAAAGGTAGTTTCGAGTGAAAGTTTTGGGGAAAAAGTGTTGAATGGGGGCGAGTGCTGTACTGGCTCGACTGGACCCTGGACAGACTTCCAAGGCCTGGGCTTCGGTCAGTACCTTTAACGATCAGGTAGGCGATGGCGAGAAGGAAAGCAAGGAGGCCGGCGAAGAGCAGCGAACAGAGAATGGAAAGGACCTGGACCGGCCACCGCCGAGGCTGGCTTCTGGCGGCCGCAGTCGCCGGGAAGATGCCATTGCGCTTCTCGGGCAAGACGGGAGACCCGTCCCCGAGCCGCGGGAGAGGCGGGGCCCTCCTGGGCTCCGACAACGCCCCGGCTGAGAACTCTGCCCGCAAGTCGCGGGCCACTTGGTCGCACCCCTCGTCCTCGTCGACATCGCCCTCACCCCAACCATCCCCCCGAGTGAAGTTGGAATTCACCCGCCGAGACACGGGGCCGGGGGTGACCTGGCGGCGCAGTCGCGCGGACCCCGCACGCTCCATAAACGACATGGCGGGAAAGACGGAGAGACCCGCGGAGGTCGAACGTCCGCCGCAGCCCCGCCCCGTCCCGGCAACGGCCAATCAGCGACGGCTGCCGTCGGGCGAGACCAACGCGCGCGGGGCCGCGGGGGCGCGCGAGCGGCCGCCGCCAAGCGCGGCGGGCGCCTCTTCCGGAGGCGCTCCTATGGAGCGCGCGCCCCCGCGGCCCGCTCCCACACACAGCCGAACTTCCTCGGCCCTTTCGGGTCCCGTCAGCGCGCACCACCCGTCCCCCATAACAGCAGCTCCCCGGGCTGGGCTCGGCTCGGCCGCGTCCTAACTGCCAATCGCTTTCTCTCCCCGGCGGGCCATCTCCGCCCCTAGAGCTCCCCGCCAGCGACGCTGCGCGCGCCACCTCCCTCCGCCCGGGCGCGCGCTCAGCCGCGGGCAGGCGGGCGGGCGCGCGCAGAGCTCGAGCTCTTCCCCCCCCCCCCCGAGCACAGGACCCCTCCCCACGCCTGCCCCACGCGCGCGCGCGCGCACTAGGCCGATAACGCTGGGTGCCGCTTCCCCCGCCCCCACCCCACCCTCGGTGGCCTCAGGTTTGTGGGGCGAACGTAACTAGGGCGGGGGGGGGGTGGCGAAGGTGGCAGGACGCCACTGCCGCACCCCCAGCGGGGTGCGGTGGTTCGAGCCCCGGAAGCCGGGTCCCGGCCGTGTCCCCTTTCCTGGGGGAAGTTGGTGGAGTTTTCCCGGCTCAGCCCTCGACGCAGAAACTTCCTCCGTCCCCCTCCCCCCTCTCCATGCAGGCGACGCCGAGCGAGGCCGAGGCCGGGGGCGAATCGCCGCAGAGCTGCGTGTCGGCCGCGCGCTCTGATTGGACAGCAGGGAAGCCTGTCAGTTTATTGGCCCCGCTGATCCCGCCCCGTAGCTCAGGGCAGCCTTTACCCTTTGGCCCCGGCGGGCGCCAGCCACTCAGATCGCTGCTTGTTGGTATGTGCAGCGGCAGTGGCCGCCGACGGAGCAGTCTGAGCCCGACGATGAGGCCGGGGACTGGAGCCGAGCGTGGAGGCCTCATGGTGAGTGAAATGGAGAGCCAACCTCCCTCGCGGGGTCCCGGGGACGGGGAGCGGAGATTGTCCGGCTCAAACCTGTGCTCCAGTTCTTGGGTCTCTGCTGACGGCTTCCTGAGGAGACGGCCCTCGGTAAGGGATCGGCGGGGTAGGGGAAAGCGGCACAATGAAAAACCGAGTCAGAGAAACAGGAAGCTTTCTCCGAAAGGAGGAGAGTGTCCCAGGAAGAGCTGCAGATGGTGGGCTGCGTCCCAGGAGAGAGGGCTGGAGGGCGGGAATGCACAAAGACGGACGTGGGACCTGGGACGTTCCAGGGGTCTGGGCCTACACAGACACCTTCGGAAGGTGCCGGCTCCCCGGCGAGCTTGCATGGCAGAGCCCTAGGCCTGTTTTACCGTCGGGTGCCTTAAGTCCCTGGGACTTGAGAGAGAAGCTGCCATAGTTTCTTTTCGCCGGGAGTAGTGGTTGGGAGAATTGACAGCGGGTGTTTAGTTTCGGGCGAGGAACAATGGACATATGTCTGTGTGTGTACGTACATATAGATCATCTGAAGTTGACGAAACGGGTCAGTTTGTTATTTGCATTTAGTTTCTGGGACAGAATGACAGTCTGATATTTTACCTGTATTAACGGATTTGACTTCGGAAATAGTATATTTATCTCCCAATGAAGTTACTCTTGGGTACCCACATTCTGTTTTATGTCAAAACCTCATCCAAATTAATGTAATTTTAAGTAATATAAGGTGGCTATATGTATAAAGGGGACAAAGTTGTGTTCTTAAGTTGGAATTCAATAGCCACCAAGGCTAGGCAGTCATTTAACATTGAGCAGATGAGGGGGCTGTAATCCGATAATGGATTTACTTTGTTAACTTTCAGATTCCTTAAAATAACCACTATAGTTTATTTTTAAGATTAATATTAGTAAATGCTAATATAATAATTTAACTTGATATTGTGCCATATAGGTCATTGATTTTTAAAAAAAAAAAAACATTTACTCAGTCTCTTCATTTTTTCATATTTTTCAGATGGGGCATCCTGGCATGCATTATGCACCAATGGGAATGCACCCTATGGGTCAGAGAGCAAACATGCCTCCCGTACCTCATGGAATGATGCCACAGATGATGCCCCCTATGGGAGGACCTCCAATGGGACAAGTAAGAATATGTTTTTTACTTAGTTTTGTTTATTTCTGTTTTATTGTGTGGAGATTTTAAAATGTAGTTCAGTGCATCCAGCTATTGAAGGGTTAGTTTATAGCCACATGTTTTCAGACAAGTCATGTTGAGCATCACTGTAACCAAATTTTGAATGTAGTAATACTGTACAAAAAAATTATTTCCTCAACAAAATTAAGATCTAAAGAATATTAAGTTGGGTGTGGTGGTACACACCCACACGCGCCTTTAATCCTAGCACTTGGGGAGGCAGGGGCAGGAGGGTCTCTGTGTTCAAGGCCAGACTGGTCTACAGAGTGAGTTCCAGGACAGCCAAGGAAACACAGAGAAACCCTGTCTTGAAAATCAAAATCTTTAAAGGGACATTATATGTGTAGGCTCCTTGATTTAGTGACTTTCTAGGTTGATTGTTAATGGTCTAGGAGTAAATATATATATATATATATTATATATATCGTATGATTTTGGTGAACCGTGTAAATGCGTAGCATCAGAAAAATAGCAATTACTCAGGATTTTCATTTAGAATGAATTTTACTCTTGGAATATTTTCCTTCTGTTGGGTGTGGAGGGATTTTATGCTCTATTACTAATTCTTCCCTGGACAGTGCCAAATAGGTAGCTCATTTTCTACTTGAGTTTTAAAATGATACTGCTTCTGCACTCCTAATTGTGAGTTGCCCCTTGTATCTCTAGCACAAATTGAAAATGGACATTCTGTGGGAGTGATTTGGAGCGAAAGATTGTAGCTGAGTCAGTGACACTGCTAGACAGAATTTCTATTTCTAATTTAGAAGCGTTGAAGAAAGGCCAGAGCTTCAGTTCCATGAGCAGTTGTGTCCTATGGAAGATTCTATAGTACACAGATCCTTGGGCAGGCTGGGTCATCCCATTTGAATGTCTTGATAAGTCATGAAAAATTTTGGTTAACAAAATATTATGGAAAACCAGTTGTATATTTTCTTTTGCTAATGAGTGCTGTTGACTTTGATAATGGTCTAAGCAATGAAGACTAAAGTTATTGGTGAAATTGCAGTGGAAACAGGAGCTTGTGTTTTCTGTTTTTATTTAAAGTAGAATGACTCAGTGTCAAGTATTTTTTTTTTATATTTGGAGTATAGCCCTTAATTTTGTATAAATTCCTTATTCAGAGGCACCAGACTAAAAAGGTTCTTCCTGCAGGAGTTCCTTATGTAAAAGATTCCTTTGCTCTGTTACTCTAGAATATCAGTACCTGAAGCTCCCTAGGAGATGCAGAGACAGCTCTAATCCTCTTCTGTACCTTTCCATCTCTAAGCAGCACAAAGCCCTTCTTGTTTTCTTGGTAGAGCTGCTCTAACTAGATAATGAGCTTTTAAAAGATATTTATTCTTTAAATGCTCTGGTTCTTATTTAAAATTAGTTTCTTTCCACAGAAAGATAAAATAAAACAATTTGCTACTGCCAGATGCTTCTCTCTTTTCTGGGGCCTTCTGTTTCCATTGGGCCAGTCAAGGTAAGTTTTGCAAGGGGTTGACCTGCTTACCCTTGCTGTAATGGTGCTGTTGCACTAGCAAACCTGAGATGCCAGTTAGTCATTTTCACTACAATGCAGACTTTATTTTTTAAGTAATTGGCATAAACTGGTCACAGTTTGTTTTATGGCCCCTTCTCTTTAGCTGTGCCAGTGACTGCCTTCCTAACAAGTTTACTTGCTACTCAGATACTTCAGATATTCTGAAGTTTGCTTCATGGTCTTAGACTCCTTTTTTTTCTAGTCCAGTATGTTTATACACCATTAAGTACAACTGACTATTTAAATGTTTAGAATTCTTTCTCCCTCTGTTGGTTCCCTGTGAGGATAATGAATACTTTAGGATATTAGCTCTGAAAGTCTCAAGAGAATAGCCATTATTTTCTCAAAGTTAGATCATTTTCTAGTACTCATCCCCCCACCAACAAATTTGGGTCCTAACTTTTTTTCAGCTTTATGATACTAGGAAGGCATGATAAGCTGAATGAATCCTTAAGGAATCTAGGATTCTTTCTCAAAGCTCTGTGAACTTTCTCCTAATGATGAACTGATCATTTTCCTATATCGTTTCTTCTATTTGCATATGCTCAGAATTATTAATGAATAGTAGTCACAATGCAGATATTTGAGAAGAACGGGGTGTATGGTTCATGGTGGTAAATATATAGTCTTGCCATCCATCTTTTTAAAAGTTTATTTAAAACTTTTTAGATTTTGGGAATGAAGGCTATATAATTTTCAAAAATAGTTGACTGTAGCTATAGGGTTCTTCATCCATTGTTTGAACTAACTATAGAACACGAAAAATACATTTTTCCAGAACACAGACTTTGCTTTGTTGTATTCCCTATTCAATACATAAAACAACTATATAGTTACCTTTGTATAGAGCGTGTATATCATATTAGTTATTACAAGTAACTATGAAACAAGTAAATATGAAAGAGATAATTTCAATTTACAAGATGTCCATAGGTTATATGCATGTATTGCGACTTTTTTTATGCAAGGGACTTAAGCATCTGGATTCTGATATGTACCAAGGTTCTGGAACAGGTCAGTCTTCTGTCAAGAGATCTGCTTTGTTGATCACGTCTAAGTTATCTTTTCTTAGACCAACCAAAGACTAAAATAGAAAGCAGTCTGTATTGTTGAATGGTTATGGTCTTTGAATGTTACTCAATATGACAAATTTAAAGCTTGTTTATAAAATAGTATGCAGACTAGACAGTAGTGATCTAGGGTAAAACTGGGCTTGCAAAATTGAAATGCAGCCAGGCAGTGGTGGCGCACGCCTTTAATCTTAGCACTCGGATCTCTGTGAGTTCGAGGCCAGCCTGGTCTACAAGAGCTAGTTCCAGGACAGGCTCCAAAGCTACAGAAAAAGCCTG